TCTAGAAGAGGGTCAGCAAACTATGACCCATGGACAAAATCTGGCCCACTGCTTATTTTTGCAAATCAGTTTTTATGGGAACATAGACGTAGCTATTTCTTTAGGTATTATTGATGGTTGCTTTTGAACTACAATGGCAGAGATGAGTAGTTGTGAAGAATACCATGTGCCCTTAAAGTCTGAGCTATTTACTATCTGGCCCTTTACAGAAAAAGTTTGCTGACCCTTTCTTTAGAGCAAGGCAGGAAAGGCTAGCCTATCTTTCTATTTATTTCATATTTACAAGGTTTTGAAATCTACATATTTGTGTATATGTTTGTATATGGATATACAGATGTTTAAAAGAGGAAAACACATCTGAATTAGAAATAGATTTTTAAATAGAAGATGCTCATTTTTTTGTAAAGAACAGTTTCACATGCCCAAGGTTTTTATAACTGTGACACTCACGTGTTTTGTACTGAGAAAGTTTAGGAAGAAACAGTGAGCTAGCTGTCTTGGATAGGATAAACATACGGTGGTGGTGACACACCCAAATTTCTACTTAGAATATTTGCTAGGCAGATGGCGATATAAAATCTGATGCCTGGAAGACAAGACTGGAGTCCACATTCAAAAAGTGATATTTTTAGCTCATAGACATGGATAAGCACTTATAAGGAAAACATATGAGGAAAAAAGCACCCTTTGGTCCAACATGTCACTACAACTTCTAGGTACAAATATTAAAGAAGTACTCAGAAGACAATATGTACGCAAATGCACATAGCAAAATTGTAAATTGTAAAATTTGACAACAAACTAAGTTTCCATCAACAGGAAAAGGGATAAGTGAATTGTAAATATAATTCATGCTAAACTACACAGCACTAGTGAAAATGAATAACTTGAACTACATGTAACAACATAAACTAATCTGACAAATATGAAGTTGAGCAAAATAATCAAATTGAAGACTAAAGTATATAGTGTATTACATAAGGTATAAAAAAAAATAGCATCTAAACTGTAATTGAGATGCACCAGATAAACATTTTGGCATAAGGCCAATAAGTTGAAATCAATATTTCGTTGAGGACAAAGATAAATATCAACATCAAATAATGGCTTCTGAGATACAAAAATAAATCTGAAATTATACTTAAAGTATTTATTGCTGTTTAATTATTTACTAATGACATCATAATTACATCGTAGTACATGAACAATAATTCTTTGAGCACTGTCAGGTGCTATTTTGCTCTTGCAGTCAGTGGTCTACCTATGTGTGATACTAAATGGACATTCGTTTTCACCTGAGGTCAGTAGAAAAGTGAGATATTTGGGGATTAGATAATTTTCCTCTATACTTTTTTCTTTTCTTCATATATTTTATATTTTTTATTATGTCTAAACAAAAAATGATTTATTATAGATGTACATGATTTTGGAGTTTTCCTCTCAGTGAAATTTTGAGATGGCAAAATTGACATTCAACTTTAAATTTATTCCCATAAAACTATTTACAAAACAGAAACAGACTTATGGACATAGGAAACAAACTTGTGGTTATAGGAGTGTGGCAGGGGGAAGAGAGGCATGAGGAATAAGTTGGGGAGTTTGGGATTTGCAGATAACTAACTACTATATATGAAATAGATAAACAGCAAGGTCCCACTTTATAGCACAGGAATCTACATTAAATACCTTTTAATAGCCTATAATGAAAAAGAATATGAAGAGGAATATATATATGTATAACTGAATCACTGTGATGTACACCAGAAATTAACACATCATAAACCAATCATACTTCAAAAAAATTTTTTTTAATTTATCCTCACTAAAAAAAGGAATTTCCCAAATGACAGTTTCTTGAACAATTCATGTTCTAAGTGGAATTTTAAAACTAAAAATTAAGTAGAGTTCTTAAAGATTATTTTATTTAAGGTTTTGTACTAGTATACAAACAATTGTACAGTTATTAAAATTATGATATAATCTAGTACCTGTTAGTCTGACTTGGGTTATTATTTCTATAAGGATTTATATTTATTGGCTCAAAATCTATTGTTCTTCCTACATATGTCTAGGGCATGCACTCAATATTTGTATTAATTGTCCATTTATTTATTTATTTATTTAACTATTGTAAAGTTCTTAATAACTTTTTTATGTAAGATTAACAAATTTCACAAGTCATTAATGATTGCAGCATACTCCTCTTGCAATAATAAATACATATTTTACTTCAACAACTGATAGCATTTCAAATACAAAAGCATACAAAGAGATTTTTTACAGAGTTATATCTAGAATGCTAAATTATATTTGAAAAGGAATTTCCAAATATTAGCAATACATCCAAATAACATGTCTTGTTCAAGTAACTGGTATAGCTGCACTGATTAGCTGTAAAGTTACCTATAAGATCATGTGATCATTCTTTGATCATACCTTGATCCCTGAAATGGGTGCCATAAATGATCTTGAAGCAGGATTCAGCTATTTGGCTTTCCCAAAGCCGAAGCTGATGCCAGAATTATAGTGCTTCCTTCACTTTGGAAATGTTTAAAATATGCAAACAAACCTGATTTTGTTTAGGATGTTAGAAAAAGAAATTCAACTGAATAAATTTGCAAGATCATATTGACCATATTCAGTGACTGATGAATCAGGCGGTATCCAATCTAGCAGATAGAAAGGAGCTCCAAGGAGCTGTACAAAATGAAAGGCTTTTATAGGCAGAAGGAAGTTGTATTTGGCAAAAAGGCAGATTGGTTATTCCAAGGTTACTTTCCTTTAGGAGATGATAGGGGTCTGGCAGGCAGATATTACCTAAGTAGTGCTAGTCAGGCAATTAATTCCTGGTTGACCGGTTTTAAGATTTCCTTGCTGAGAGAGCTGATCTATAGTTTTAAGTCTCAGTTTGGAGACATGGGGCTTAAAATAAGTGACTGCACATGGGGCCTGTTGTCTTGTTTTTAACAGGGATTACATGGATATGTATCACAATTATAAAAGCATGTCTGAGAATAAAAACCAAATTCAAGTATGAATTTAGTTCTTCTGCGGGGCAAAGTGAAGAATGCACTAGATGAAAGATACACAAAAGGGTCAAATCTATTTGTAACATTTTATTTCTTAAGCAAGATATGAAACTTGAATGTTTATTATATTTTTCTTTATCCTGTTTTACATGCCTCAAAAATTTAATAACAAAAGAATTTTTTTAAGCAAAGAATTAAAAACTGTGCTTATGAAGAAGCCTATACAGTTCTAGAAACCAGAAATAATGCTTTCTCATTTACAAACATTTTAAGTTGGGAAAAATACTTTAAAATAGGGATTTATCTTTTCTTCAGAGGTGAAATTATTGGTTATTAAATCATCCACTTAGTTGTTGATTTATTTAACTTTCAAAAAATAAGATAAAAAAACAGAAATCTAAGTTAACCATACACCATTTTTAATGGCAAACTGGAACCAAAATGTCTCCCTGCGATCATGATAGTAATTAAAGGCAAAGGGGGAAAAGTAGCTAAGAGGAAAAGAAACTTTACAGTTTGTGTCTGAAACCAAGTGAGCAGCATGCAAATCTGCAGTCTTCAGGGGTAAGGTCTTTAAGTGGTATGTAATCCAATATCGAAAGCCGTCTATTTGAAATGTCCCCTCACTTCTGTTTGGGCACAGTTTTTCCTTTTCCAGTGTTATTTGGCACAGATTTTCTGTTTCTCTCCACACCTCCTCAAACCTCTGATCAGAAAGGCGTAGCGCTGGAACTCTTTGGTCATAGTTGTTTGCTTAATACCTGCTTCATTTCCTGTTTTTTCTCTCATCTAGATGTAACAAGTACCAAGTAAAGCAGGATGTGACAGTTAGAGGGAATGTCGCAAACAATAATGAAAGCAATTATTCTGCATCATAGGCCCATTTGCTCATTTTCATTTCAGTAGATAAACGATATTATCTTTTGCAAGTAACACAAAGTGAGACGGGGGCTGTACCCGTCCCAGGGGAGAAGGAAAGGCGCCTGGCTCAGTTATCACTGTCAATTAGCAAATATTTGGGCTCTTCAGGCCTTGGGTGTTGTTTTTCTTTTTAATTAAAGGCTTCCCACTAATGAGACTTTGCTTTTGAATTTTGAGTTTTGTAACTATTTCTACTTTATATCTTTATAAATCTCACCTTTAAGAAAGGCTGAACTATAAGACAAGATTTTAAAAACAGCATGATTCTTTAGGACAAAATGAGGAAAGGGATGAGGTGCTTAAAAATTCTGTTTTCACTGAGTGCAACGGTGCATCAGTTCCTTCACAAGAAAACTCTACCACAGTAGATGAATTGCCTTTCATGATATATTTAAATCGAATTACTTACCTGGAAGCTCATTTTTATAGTGCTTCATACTGACTTTCCTGCACAAAATCACTCTTTTAAAAATATGTTCTCAAACAAAATAAATTAGTGGTTGCCTAGTCCTGGGGAATTGGGGTGAGGATGAGAGTGATTGCTGCTGGGTACGGGGTTACTTTTTGGGATAATGTTCTGAACTTAGATTTGGGTGGTGGTTGCACAACTCTGTGAATATACTAACAATTGAATTGTACTTTTTTTATATACTTTTTTTAATTGAAGTATAGTCAGTTTACAATATTGTGTCAATTTCTAGTGTACAGCACAATGCTTCAGTCATACATGAATATACATACATTCATTTTCATATTCTTTTTCACCGTAAGCTACCACAAGATATCAAATGTAGTTCCCTGTGCTATACAGTATAAATTTGTTTATCTATTTTATATATACCAGTCTGTATCTGCAATTCTCGAACTCCTAATTTATCTCTTCCCACCCCCTTCCGGCCTGGTAACCATAAGTTTGTTTTCTTTGTCTGTGAGTCTGTTTCTGTTTTATAAATAAGTTCATTTGTCTTTTTTTTTTAATTGTACACTTTAAATGGATGAATTTTATGGCTTGCAAATTATTCAATAAAGTTTTTTTTCTTTTAATCTGTTCTCAAGGAGGAATCTGAAAGAGAAGAGTGGCATAAAGAGAGGTCTCTTGGATTTGAGTAATGTCTTCTCTAAAGCTCCACCACCAGGAAACAAAGGTCAGACCTGAGATTTTTGATCTATATATCCTAATATTCCACCATTTTCTCTCCCCACCTCTCATCAAGGTTTTTTCTTTATAATTTATCACATGAATAATGTAACCCAGTGGAGCCTGGTGATAGACATTGGGGATTGGCAACCCAGAAACCACTCACAATGCTCTCTTCTCTTGCCCTTTCCCACCATAGAGGCTGGAGAGCAAAATACAGTTGGCCCTCTGTACTTTGGGTTCTGTATTAGTGGAGTCCTCATCTGTGGATTCAACCAACCTCAGATTGAAAAAAATTTTTTTCCAGAAAATTCCAGAAAGTAAAACTTGAATTTGCCACATGCTAGCAGCTATTTACATAGCATTTACATTGTATGTACAACTATTAACGTAACAGTTGCATTTATTAGGTACTGTAAGTAATCTAGAGATGATTTAAAGTATACAGGGAGGACGTGCATAGGTTATCTGCAAATACCACGGTATTTTATATAAAGGGCTTGAGCAGGGGTCCTGGAACCAATCCCTGGATGATTGCACTCCATTTTCCTTTTCTGCTGCTAGAAGCAGCCATGTGACTCAGTTCTGGCCAATACAATGTAAGCAGAACTCTCTCAGATCAGATTTCCAGGGAAGTTTTACTTTCCAGATGAAAAGGGTAGTTACAACTGGCAGAGCCCTTTTGTCCCTGTCTTCCCTGCTGTCTCTTCCTCCTTCTTCCTGCCTAGAGAGCAGACATGAGGCCTGAAGATGCAACAGCCAGTTGGTGACATGAGGTGACAAGCATGAATAAAAGTCCATAAGCTAAGGAAGTTGGAGCAGAAAAACTGACAGACTCTTAGTCTTTGTCAGCATTTCTCAGCAGCTCTACCAGTGCTGGACTGCTCAGCTCCAGATTTCTCATTGTGTAAAAAAAAGAAAACACTTTTTTGTTAACCTACTATTACTTGTTACAAACAGATAACCTTTTACTTGCACGGGTACCCTTTAATTGCAACCAACAGCACTTTTAACAAGCCAATTATAAGACTTTCATATTTCAAAATGATCTAAATATGTCTAAGTCAAAGTGGGCTTATTTTAATGTCCAGGGGAATGGAAAAGGATAACTCCCTTGTAAGAAAATAAAATAGGCCTTTATTTTATATATGAGGTCTTAAGAGTGTAGCTGGTATTAGTTGCCCTAAGCAGGACTCATCCTGGGGCCCTAACAAGACTGAGTTTCTTGCCCTAAAGGCTGAGGACCAAACCCTGGACTCATGGGTGAATTCATACTCTGATGATCACTTGGCCAGTTTCTCCTGGTGACACAAATACCTCCCCATCCTGCCCCTTCTATCAATGTCGTGTCACACTGATGACTCCACCCAAGGAATCTTTATGGAAACAGAACATAGTCTAGCCTGATACAGATATTTCCTCTCAGCTCCTGTGCCTGTCCCAAGACACACTCCAGGTGCAGTGGGCAAGCTGTCCACTCAGTGACTCATCCCTGAACCACTTCCCATCACTTGGCCCACTTCCTTCTGACCAACTTTTTAAAATCCTGGCTGCTGATTTTTGTATTCCTTCTCCTATGCATTTCCCCACTGCTCCCACTGGATTTGACCTTGGCTGACTCAAAAAGCCTTGGGTGATCCATTTCCTGTTTTGACCTATCTCCCTCTACCCCAACCCTGAACTTAAGGGCTCTCTCCCACCAGTCCTGCCCTGTTCTTGCAGACAGGACTTAGACCCACAGAAGTATCCAGGGGACACTCCTCCTATCATAAAGGGCACAAGTTGGAATCAACCACACTGGATTCAGCATGAGATGTGACAATCCCAGCAATTTCCAGAGCTGTTGCCTGGGCTTTTCTACCTCAGGGATTTAAGTTCAGCAAAAAAGACCGGGAAACTTTCAGCAGGACTGGTCATTTCCCAGGGAGGCTCTGAGAAAGTAGCCACTTCAGTAAGTAGCATCTGTAGACTGAAGCTTTTCCTACTTGGCAGCCCAGAGCTGTCCTGTCAGCTGCCATTTCCATAGCAGCAATTATGGAGTGACTGACACTCGGTACTGTGTCTGCGGTGACTCCAGCTAACAATTAAGTCACACCAGCTCAGCATGTTCCCTTTTAATTACTTACAATCTGAAGTAGGTATTAGAACCAGGCAGGCCTGAGTTTGAATACCAGCTGTACCTACTTGGCCCCAGTCTTCCCTGAATCTCAGTTTTCTCAGTCATGAAATAATAATAGTTATACCTCCCTCACAGATACACCGCATAAAAACACCTAGCATGCACATTCCTGACACAGCAGACACTGACCAACGTGAATTCCGATTCTTTTTTCTTATTCCAACCTGAGGTAGAATCTCCAGGATCCTAAAGACCTGCTTCACCTGGGAGTCCTCTATATTCAGTTCTAATTCTTCCTTGTCCTTAAGTCAGGGGAAGGTGGTATCCTACAGTCAAACTTGAGTTTCTGACTGGACACACTTCTAGACAGGAGTAGTATTGGGGGGTGGAGATAGGCTCAAGGAAATGCTTATTCCATGGCTTTTAAACTTCAGTGTACATGAGAATCATTTAAGGAGTTTATTAAAAATACGTATACCCAGGTCCCTCCCTCAGTGACTGAGAGTCAGACCCAGGAATCTACATTTTTAATAAAATTTTCAGGATGTGCACCAAAGTTCAAGAATCACTGCCCTGTCTGGAAGTTTCTCTCTTCTCTTGACCTAGCTACTCTGGTAGATAGAGTAGGTGGTGGGGCCCAGTTGGGAGCTGTGGTATAGTAAAACATATTTGATTTCTGTCTCCAGTTCCTGGCACAAAACTCCCAAATGCTTGGTTCTCTTGGGTGATGAGTGTCTTGAGTGATGAGTGTCTTATGCTAATGAGACAAGCTTTGGTTGGTGGAAGGAGGGTTAGGGGGCAGCCACACTAGATTTTCACATGGGGACTGGTCACCAGAAAAACCAACCAAGTGATTAAAAGACTAGACTTTTGGCTCCAGCCCCTGGCCTCTTCAGGAAGGGGAGGGGGAGAGACTGGGTTCAATCACCAATGGCCAGTAATTTAATTAATCATGCCTAGCTAATAAAACTTTGATTAAACCCCCCTGAAAAACAAGTTCCCTAAGCTTCTAGGTTGGTGAACACATTCACGTGCTGGGAAGATGGCACCACAGGAGAGAGTGTGGAAGCTCTGTGCCAATCCCCACCCCTCACCCTTATTCCCTATAACTTCTCTATGCATCTGTAGGGGATCAAAATTTGCCACCCCAAAATACCTCTTTGTCATGCAGATTATTTTGAGCTGAAAACTATCAAGTCCCAAAAGATTCAGGAAGAACGGTTGACCTTCTCCCTAACTGCCTAAAGAATGTAGATAGAGGACCTGCTCCGGGAAGGGAGCTATCACTATGGATGACTATAGTATGAGCTGGGTATGATTGACAGGGAGGAACCTAGCAAAGTCGGTTTGTTAAAATTCCTGTGTCCCACTGTCTCTGTATGGCCCAGCAAATATTTGTTTACCAACAAACTTTTGTTTTTCCACCTCCATGTCAATTGCCTCTCTCCCCTTTGAAGTCCCAAACCACTACACTCAACATCCTCATTTTCTTTAACTGAAGATGGTATTTAAGATGAGAGCTTCAGCCATTTTGGCGAGTTAGTTTTCCTGGGTCTCTCCCATAAATACATGTTACTAAACTTTTATTTGATTTTCTTCTGTCAATCTGTCTCATGTCAACTTAATTCTTTGACTAACCAGAAGAACCTAGAAGGGCAGAGGAAAATTTCTTCTTCACTGACACATCTCTTCCATTTGGCTGTTTCTAAGTTATATCCTTCATAATGAACTGGTAAATGTTAAGTGTTTTCCTGAGTTTTATGAGTCTTTGTAACATATTATCAAATCTGAGGAGAGTGTATGGGAACTCCCAAATTTGGAGTCAGCCAGGCAGAAGAGTGGATAGCCTGAGTACCCCATTTGCAGCTGGTCTGAAGTAAAGGCATGCACGTGGGACTGAGCCCCTTAACTCACGTGATCTGGTGCTAACTCTAGGTAGATAGTATCAGAATTGAATTAAATTGGCACCCAGTTAGTGTCATAGAATTGGTTGGTATGTAGAAAAATGACACACATTTAGTGTCAGCTGTGGTGTCAGGGAAAAAGAACCACTACACAGGGGCCTGTCACATTTTGTCTCCTGACTTCACCTGGCCCTTGTGTAACCACACTTCTTTATAGAATGTGGTTAAGCTCAGAAGAAACGGCCAATTCTGTTGCAATTCTCTGACCTAAATTCAGTGTTAACCTTTTGAAGAGGAATAGAAGTGGGGTTAAAATGTTCCCTGTTCAAGTCTACCCAAAAGGAGGGCCTCTGACATACTGACTGTGATCCACAGCACACCCAGAGGACATCTCCAACAAGCCAGGGAGCTGAGGGCCTGTGCTATAATAGCGTGCAAGCTCATTTTCTGAAATCATCAATGGACTAGTTGACCACCTTGACTCTGGCTGGACCCCACCTGAGCTGTTCTTAATCTTTTGAGCCTAGTCATCTTGTATCTGCCAGACCCCTTCCATCTAGCTAGATTTTCTGCCCTGGTTCCTCTGGGCTGTTTATTAGTGATCAAGCCTTTCCTCAAGCCTCAAAGTTGCTATAATAAGCTCATTCAGCCATTTCCACCAGAATGTGTCCAGGTAAAGTCTTTGCTGATAAGCCTTCCAATCCTGGCCCCATGTCTGAGGTTCTAGCTATGCTGCTGTCCCAGTATTTGTTGTTAAGATGCTATTCCCTCCCTTCCTCACCTTCTCGTCTCTCTTTCTTCCTGGAGTAGCCACGCAGTTTTATCAGTCAATGCCACTCATCTTGTTATAGCTTCTGGCATACCTGAAATCATTCAGAGGGGCCTCATTCTTAGTCTTGTGTGTGTGTGTGTGTGTGTGTGTGTGTGTGGTAATTTTTCACAGAGATTTCCTCTGCTAGGACCCTGTTCAGGACAAAGTTAACC